CATGAAGGCATTTGCAGTTTTTAACTCATCTTCACAGTGCTTTTTAGCTAACGTTTTGCCTCATGGTAACCTCTGCTCGGAGCCATATATATATATATTGCTAGTTAGAAAACTCAGACATAAGCCGCGATTTCATGTCAATGCTTTAAAGTTTTTACTTTACATATATAAATTAAAACTAGAAATGTATAGTTTACTCTTTGGACAAACAAAACAGTCGATGACAGATTATAAACAGCGTGACCAGCAGCTCTGCCATGACTTGCTCCTTCCTGAAACAATAAACGCCTTCTTTGCACTTAAACCAACAACTTCAAACCTGCAAAGTTCTTATCCCTGAACCTAATTTCAGTGTTTTTTGGTCTACGTGTTGCTACTTGATGATTTCATAATTACACATAATTGACTTGGGTATTTGCAATTTCACAAAATTTGAAACGGTTTAAGGGGTTATTACACCTCTTTAAGGTATTGTCGCTAGGGCTGAAACAACCGGATTAATCGATTATTGAAATAATCGTCTACTATTTTAATAATTGATTAATCATTAACTGGAGTATAGAGACTGTAAAACATGACTTTAGCTGACAGAGCAATCCAATCAGAGCAGTAATTATATTGGAATTGTAAAAAATATATAAACATTTTGCATTTAAGATTTAAAAAAAAGTTTTCGTCAGTCAATCTCTTCTATCCAGCAACCTCAAGTGGAAAAGTTTTTGTTTCTGATGTGGTTAAATAATAATAACCTCGTATTTTCCTAGAATTGTGTCCAACACAAACACACAAGTTACTTTTCTGCAGAATAGGAAGGAAGACATGTCTGTGGTCAACTCTGCTGGGACCTCTCTGTCCCCTGCCTTTATTAGCAGACTTCAAAGGAGTAACAGGAGGAGTCAAACGTTTTCAGGAGGGGTCAGAGGTTCACACATGATAAAGCATGACGGTTCCTTGTGCAGTTTTGTTGCAGGTGATGACAGGCTCGGACTGGGAATGATTTTCGGCCCTGGCGTTTTTTTCCATCTACACCGGCCCCCCTCCAACCTTGTACACCTTGACACTTAGCCGTCACAGTCAATTGATTGCCTTCCAAAGCCTTCACTCTTGGTTACAAGCATCACACGACTCCTCCATCTTGCATTGAAATACCGTTTACAGTGATATTTTACACTCCATCAAGAAAAAAGGAAAACATGATGAGCACGGACACACAGTTTTGAGTATACCGTTTTTGTAGAGGAATATAACTATAAAAA